GTGTTTGTGTGTGCTTGTGTGTGTGTGTGTGTGTGTGTGTTCGCAGTGAGAGTCGGATCAGATACGATCATTACCTGATCCCCTTCACGCTGTATGAGTTGGGTTTGCTCTATAAACAGCAGGGAGACTTCATCAAGGCCACCTCATACATAGAAAAAGCCAAGTAAGTCCTGCTGAACACACACTGTGAACTGGTCTGGTCCTMACCAGGTTCTGACATCAAACTGGTTCTGGACCCTGATCCAGCCGCTTGTAGAACCTGTTTTATCAGCAGAACACATGAAATACACACYTGTGTGTTCAGTATTTGTGTTATTTATTTCTAGATAGTTTCCTTGTGTTGACAGCTCAATTTAACTTTAACGTTTTAAGCCCCGCCCCTCTGTGACACACCTGTTAACTCTGTAGGTGTGTCTGTTGTGAAAAACCTGTTAGCTTACATCTCCAGACCCACTTTCAGGAAGCTCTGACCCTCAACCAGAAATGATTAAATGGATAAGATGTGAAGTTGGAGCATTTTTGTTTCAACCTGTTGGACCGACAGAACCTTTACTGACGAAATGTTTTGTTTTGTTCTGGGTCAGGACCAACTACAAGGACTACTCCATGGAGTCCAGGCTCCACTTCAGGATCCACGCAGCCCTCAGCAGCCTGAAAGGATCTCCTGTCAGCACCCCATGATCCTCAGAACCAAGTCCAGTCTAACAGACATGTGTAGAGTGTCGGGTTCTGACAACACGGGTTTTACCAGAGATGTATTTTGTTTGGTATTTAATAATTTTTCTGTTAATTTATTCCTTTAGCAGCTTGAACATATTCCAGCTATAATCTACTTCAGTTTTTATAATAATCCAGATTTTAACGAAGCATTTTTATTCTCTGAAGGAGCTCAGTTTGAAGACTTAGTTCACTTATAGATGTTTGTTGCATCTTTTTATTTTTGTATTTATTTGAAGAAACAAATCAGCCGATAAACCAAAAGCAGGATCCAGTAGGGGTCCAAACTGATGGATTGGTTTTATTTGGGTTTAATTTTGTGTTATTTCTCTGCGTGAACATCCAGTGTGATAGGAACCACTGCTGGCTTCAAGCTGCAGCAGATTATTATAAATCTGTAGAATCAGAAAGACTAAAACAAGCTTTGTTAGATTTATCTTATCAACACTTTGATTTGTTTGCCTTGAGGAATTCCTGCAGATGCATTACTGTGTGGCGCGTGCACGAGTCCGTGCGCAGTCTGCAGCCTTCTCACCAGTCGTGGCTTAAACAAACACTCATTCCAAGCTCTCACACACACTCTTTTATGCACATTYGAAAGAGATTACGCAGATTAATGGATAGAATTGCACATTTTTTAACAGAAATATGGAAAAAGTCGGTTCTGTTAATCCTTCAGTCCAGGTTGTGAAACCAGGTGGAGTCACTGTTTTTCTCAGATGCACAGCAGCTTCTGACGCACGCACACACACACACACACACACACACATACACA